CCTGCACAATATGCAGCCCTGCACAATATGCAGCCCACAAAAAATGTGCAGTTGCCACTGCCCAGTCTCCTGTTTGTCACGTGACCGGCAGCAACCAACCACTGTCTCTCTCTAGTCTAACCTATCGGCAGCTGAAGTTTAAAAGTTATGCAGGTCTGCTCTAAGGTAGTCATGTCAAACTCAAATAGAAACAGATCCCTGTTGCCACATATTGACTTAGAAAACCACAAATTAACATTATGTATGTTTCACTGTATTTTTTTTTTGTTAAACATTTCCCAATTACATTTTAATCTGGTGTCAGCTACTAGTTTGACACCTATGCTATAAGGTATCTTGGAAGAGTTATGAAGTGATAACTAAGTACTTGAAAACAGTGCATGCTGCCACAAAGAAAAGTAATTTACCTTCAGGCCTGAAGAAAATTCCACCATTTCTTCTGCCTGAACATTCCTTAGCCCATGAACACGGGCAATACCATCACCAATAGATAGGACTCGACCAGTTTCTTCAAGGTCAACAGAGGTGTCAGCTCCCAAAATACGCTCTTCCAGAATGGAGGACACCTCAGCTGTGCCTATTGAGAAAGTACAGTAAGTTACATGTTCATTCTTGGCTTATTAAAGGCAAAATGCTTGCAATATATGAAACTCATTTAACATACACATGATAATAATCAAGATATACACCTAAATCCAAAATATAAAAGCTCCACTAAAAAAGTAACATACTAACTATAAAAATAAGCTTTAGCTTAGATGACCTGGACCTGAAAAGTCAATGCAAATCAAGTGAGGGAACAAGAAAATGAAACAACAGTCCTCCAAGAAACTAAATATACTCTCCCTCTTCTATTCCTTGTATATTTGGTTACTACACAAGTTAACTATGAGAACCAATATCTTTAGTGGAAGTGCAAAATTATTTTCTGCCAGAAGCTGTGTTCTCGGTTTACCAATCAGAACAGAATAAAAAAACTGAGATAGTACCTATATGGTTTATAGTTTAATTGTTTTCAAATGCTATTTTTATACAAATGATGCCTCTCCAAAACTTCTACACTTCTCCAGAGGTGACTCAAGGACTGAAAACAAGCTTTAAAAGCTAAATGAAATCATTTAGTTCAATGAGGAACTGAGATAGGATTAAGAATTTTACAAAAATTATTACACAGAAGACTGCCACCTCCAACAAAAACTTAACAAGTCAGTAAGGTTCAAATAAGAAATGTTAGAACAAAGTGCTGCATACATATTGGTTAAAGCTGCAGCATTTAGCATGTAGGTTATTCTAACAGATAATCAATGTTGACAACTCACTCTACAAATACAGGATGAAACCTCATAAAGCAAATTAGTTGATCTTTCAAGTTCCTTTTCTTCCCTTATTTTTTTTATTACAATCTGTGTATTAGTCATCCCAGTTCCTGGCTTAAGACATATGCTCTGTCTACACAAAAAGTTTATTTTTATTATTCCTTTTTTTTTTTTTTTAAAGAGGCAATGGGTGTTAAGTGACTTGCCCAGGGTCACACAGCTAGTTACTAAGTGTCTGGGGTATTTTTATTATTCTAAGAGGAAGACTTTCATTAGCTACCTGTATGACCTTTGTTTAGGTAAGTTCCTTAAATTCTCTAGGTCTCAATTTTCTTATCTGTAAAACAAAGAATTGTTCTGTGATCCTACATTTCTAAGACAGAAATAAATACTTCACTGCATTAGAGGAGCCTGAAATCCCAAATGGAAAGTCAAATGGCAGAATATCATAGAAGTCAGACTACATTAGAATCCAAGAAGCAGAATACTGGAGTATACAAAATCCAAGAAGCTTCCATTAACTTAGCATATAAATCAGTTGCAATAGTAACCAGAAGGTTCAGTTAGCAAATTAGAAAAATCACAAATTGAAATATCAATGGAAAAATTTTAAAACATCAAGAAATCTAAATTATCATCTAGCACTTCTTAAACTGTGGGTCATGACCCCTCGAGGGGGTTTAAAAAAACTTAGGATTTTCCATTTTATTTTATTGGTGACATAATTGAGAGGAAAAATCTATTAGTTATCAGCTTTTTACCATGTCTTCCTCTGATAGTACTAATATAATTCAAAATTTTAAAAATTTAACAAGATAATGTAACAGTCAAGAAACACATATTAAGCTACTAATATGTGTCAGCACCGGGGATACAAGAGGTAAAAAATAACTACAAAATTCAAGTACTACCTTTCTGATGAATTCAACCATTTATTAAACCTCTAACAAATTTTTTTAAAGGGGTGGAGGGGAGATATATCAATCAAAATCAAACAAGCATTTATTAAACACCTACCACATACCAAAAATGAACTGATTCCTGCTCTGAGAATTTACATTTAATCTGAGGAAATCAACAAATACTTAAAGTGTCTACACAAAATCAAAGAGAAAATTGTGTGGGTTTTCTTTTTTTGGGAGGGGTGGGGATCAGGAAAGGCCTCTTGTAGAAGGTGGCTCTTAAATTGGGCTGTGAAGAAAACTAGATATTATAGGAGTAAGGCAAGGAAAAAGTACATTCCAATCATGGGGGGGGGGGGAATTGTGCAAAGGCATGGAAATGAGACAACAAAGCAGCCTAGAACACAGCTTTCTCAAAAAATGCTCCACAAAATAGATTTAAAAAAAAAAAACCTAGCAAATTAAACCAATGCTTATCTTTCCTGAAATGGTTTTAAGATAGTCCTTATACTGGCCATAAGAATATAAATTTGAACATACCAGACTTCTGAAGGCGGCTGTTAGAGGAATGGAAGTTCCTTGTTGCAACAAAGGCTGCCCCCAAGGCATTTCTAGAGACCTGGGCCCAAAGGAAAACATTCAGTAATTTCATTTCCATGAAAAGACGTGTGAAATATCAATATCTGTCTTAATTTAAACATACCCAATATTTTAGTGCGTGTCCATATCTTCAGCTTCATTTAGATGTTAGGACATCATTTGAACAGGCTGATTTCGTATTTAATAAAAGGTAAGGACAAATCTTAATTTACCTTTCTTATGTTACACTGAAATCACTAGTGGGGTTTATTGCTCAGAAAGACATATCACTAAATTTTTATTTTGCTCCATAAAAGGCACAAAGAGAGGTATTCACAGATTTTCTTGGCAACCCAGTATGATGGAGAAGGTGCTGGACCTGGGAGTCAGGAAAATCAGGGTTCCAAATCCTGCATCCAGCACTTATTTAGCCCTGCAACCACATGCATTTCTCTTTTGTGAAATGGAAAACAACACCCTAATATGGCTGGTGATCAGTTAGGCTCAAACAGAGAAAGTAAGTTAGTACAAAGTACTAGGTATGGGGCAGCAGTTAAAGAAAATTGTCCACCCTTCCATTCAAATAATATTGCATAAATGAACTGAATGCAATGGTAGGCTTTTCTAGGAAAAGTCTAAACTTAGTTATTTCCTCTTTCATTCTACGGAAGGAATTTTAGTGATAAACTCCAAGGTACAGAACCATAATGACCTTTAGAGGTCCTTTTCAATGTTATGCTCTTCAGGGTCACAGCAAAAAAAAACTCACACTCCAAGACCATGTCACAGATCTAGGGCTAAAAAGGACTTAAGAAGACATCTAAAGCAACCCCCTATTTTACAGATGCGTGGTTAACTGACTTGCTCAAGTTACCCAAGTACTAAATGGCAGAACTGGGATTTGAATTAAGTCCCTACAATAAATTCCCAATTCTTATCACTACACCAGGGCAGCCCTTCCCCACCCCTAACACCCTGGAATAAAAAGGAAAATCAAATTTTCAAAGTCTTTATCGTGTTATTTAGCAAAATTTCTGACTACACTGGCGAAATGTCATGCAGCACCTTAATCCTGCAATGCCGTTACCCGTTTAAAAGCTTATGGGGAAACAAATCGGCCAATGACCTGCGGCCTCTCACGCCAGGGAAAGGGAACAGTCCCTTCTGCTTGTCCCTAAGCTTCAGGGCAGCTCGAGAGGGGGCAAAGCCGGGCCCCGCTGACCTTCAAACCCACGCCCGCCGCCGATGGGCCGGATCCGGTCACGCCGGCAGCTCGCCGGACCCTGACCTTGGAGGCACGCGAGCCCAGGACGAGCCTCGGCGCGTGGAGGCAGAGCCGAGCAAAGCCGGGGCCGGGGTGGCCGGGAGAGGCCTGACCTTCACGCGGGCCAAGGCGGCTCCCGCCGCGGGCTCCGCAGCCCAGGCCGGGCCGCCCGAGGCCTCCCCCGGGACTTCTCCCCGCGTCCTCCCGCAAGGGGAGCCGAAGCCGCCCGGGGCCTCCCCCGGCTCCGCTCCGCCGGCCACCGCTTCAAGATGGCGGCAGCCGCCCCGTCTCGTCTATGGCTGCAGCTGCGGCAGTGGAGGAGCAGAGATCTCTGCCTTTCTCTCTCCCTTCCTCCCTCTCTTGGCTCCGCAAGGTGCTTACCAGCCCGGCTTGGCGGGGGAGGGCGCGGGCCAAGGCAGCGGCGACGCGTACGGACAGCATCCTTGCAGCTCCTCGTCAAGGCTCCTGTGCAGCCGCTGCCTCCGGACTGACTGGGACAAAATGGCGGCGCCGCCGGCGAAGGTCAAGTCGGCTCGCCCACCTGACCCGGAAGTGCTCCCTCCCAGTCCTCCCTCCTGCTCTCGTTCACCTCTTCTAATTTTATCTCCGTCCTTCAGGGTCCTTTCTCTCCCGCCCCCTGCTGACTGTAGCTTTTGTCCTTCAGCCTCTTCCTTCCTCCCGCAACCTCAACCTCGCGGTTCGCAGAACAGCCGTTCCGCTTTCTGAGGCGACCTCTGCGGGGCGTTGGCCGGGATGAGCACGCGGGCTGGCGGTGACCTTGGGCGCCGCTGCCCAGGACGCCGGCGGGGCGCCGGGCCGAGCCGCTGCCCCGAGGGGGTGAATGGCGTTAATAGGGCACGAGCCTGCGGTGGGGTTTATTCAGAACAGTCCGTGAAGCCCACGAGCGCGCGCGGAAAGAATTGAAGCCGCGTCCCCCCAACCCCGAAATCCCCCGGGGAGTGGGGGGTGAGGCGGGGAGGTAGTGATGACGACGAATTCTCATAAACATTAATAACAGAACGGCGGCGGGGGGCGGGGGGGAGGGTCGTGAGCATTGACAGACTCGCAGCGTGCCAGGATAGGAAGAAGATCATGTGGAGTCAGAGGACCCCAGCTCCGATCCCGTGTGTGACCTTGGTCAGGTCACAACCGCTCTGGGCTTCAGTTTTCTCTCTAGTAAAAGGTGGTGGCCTTTAGATGACCTCCAAGGTCCTTTCCAGCTCTCAATCTTTATACAACCCCGTGTAACCTGTCACTTCTGACACCTTTTCCCTTGACAAATTCCGCCCTCTCTGGACATAGCCAGTTAGTTGCTAAGTCCTACCGCTAGGTGGCGCAGTGGACAGCGCCGGGCCTGGAGTCGGGAAGACGTCTTCAGGACCTCAGACACTTATTAGCAGTGTGACCTTGGGCAAGTCACTTAACCCTATTGGCCTCCATTTCTTCATCTGTAAAATGAACCGGAGAAGGAAAAAGCAAACCACTACATTACCTTTGCCTAGAAAACCCCAAAATGGGGTCACGAAGAGCCCAACAGCTACTGAAACAACAGAACAAACCTTACCTACCTCCACCAGATCACTAGGCCCCAACTTCTTCCAAGCCTCTTTGAATTTCAATCCAGTGCTCTTTTCTTTCTTTTTTTAAAATAATTCATTTATTTTTATTTTTCAACATTCACTACCATAAAACTTAGAGTTTTGAATTTTCTCCCCCACCCTGTCCTCTCCCCTTCCCAAGATTGCATGCAATCTAATATAGGCTCTACTTATACATTCGTATTAAACATATTTTCTCATTAGTCATGATGTAAAGAAGAATTAGAACTAATGGAAAGAACTACAAGAAAGAAGAAACAAAACAAAATAAAATAAAAGGAGAGCAAATAGTATGCTTCCATCTGCTTTCAGACTCCATAGTTCTTTGTCTGGATGTGGATAGCATTTTCCATCATAAGACTTTTGGAGATGTCTTTGATCCTTGCATTGCTGACAAGAGCTAAGTCTATCAAAATTGGTTATTGTGCAGTGTTCTTGTTACTATATACAATGTTCTCTTGGTTCTGCTCACTTCACTCAGCATCAGCTCATAAGTCTTTCCAGGTTTTTCTGAAGTCCACCTGCTCATCATTTCTTATAGCACAATAATATTCTATTACATTCATATACCACAACTTGTTCAGCCATTCCCCACTTGGTGGGCAGCCCCTCAATTTCCAATTT